ATCAGATGATGTCACTTCACATTTACATACACAAATGTAGATAGTACAACTTGTCTTAGCTGCCAAACGGTCAGCTGCCGTTAGCGGTCGCTTTCATCCCACTTCCCCGCGACGAAAATCACCTGTCTTACGCGGCTAACGGACACTAAAATTCACACCAATCATGGCTTATCACCTGGCTTAAACGGCCACGAGACATTGAACTAGTGTTTAACAAATCGAACAAATTAGCCCATCAGACCAGTGCGAGGTGTGAGGACTACTCTAGCACTGTTTTTTGAGACAATATTTAGCCAAACATTGGCAGAATTAATGGTAAAGAACTTTAATATCACGCTACCAATGATGAATTATCGTAGCATTCGGAACCATAAAAGTGAGTTCCGAATGATGTAATCACAGCTCTTCCAGTCGAAACGAAAGATAATTACTTTTGGCAAGCGAGACAAAGCAATAAAAGCATTTAAGGAGACATCGTCAGCGCGAAATCGCACAGTTATAATTAGAACGGGCATAACAATGGGACGGAACATTTTAGAATATCGGAGGTGATAAATGAGTTTCACCGCAATGCAGTCGTAGAGATGAATTGGCGCCATCACACGAATAGAATGAAAATTTCAACACACTAAGTTTAATTTACCGGCGTACTTTTACACTGTGTGTAAACGACACCGGATATTGCTACCAGCCAGACGGTGGTCACACGAGGTGGGCTTATTTTGCAGGATTCCTTTTGATATGTTTCTTACTTCAGAGGGTTGTTTGTTCTCTGGGGCGTTTTTTGGACCAATACCTCATGTGTTCAGCCGTGGCTTAAACCACAAAGAACATTCCTAAATGAGTCGATATTTCTTCTAGACTTGCAAACACGCCGAAATCGGCGAAAACGCACGAGTGATACTTATCACGTATCTAAATTAATATTTGTAGTGGGGTTTTTTCGAACTAATTTCACTACCTATAACCAAATAATATGTACATGCATTACATACATTTGTCGTATTTTCGAACTCGTTGTAAATCATGAGAAATATGCTGATATAATTTCATAGCATTGTACAGCGACTTGCACTTTGCATGATGCCGTACAGAAATCTAAAAACAATAATTCGACGATGATCAATGCATTAACTGACACAATGTAGATACATCTTTATTTAGTTGTAGGCAGTAAAATATGTGGAGGGAAATACTACAAATGTTAATTCAGACACGTGATAGTTATCAATTTTCGCCGATACCAGACGACGTGTTTGTAAGTCTGGAAGAAATATTGGCCAATATATGAACGTTTTCTGTGGTTAATGTAAACATTGAAAATTTGAGGTATTGGTCCAAAAAGCCCCAAGCACATGACAGCGTATGAAGTGAGGAAAATATAGAAAACAACTCACCTTCAACTGCAGTCCACCTCGTGTGATCACCGCCTGCCTCGTAGCAATATCCGGTGTCGTTAACACAGTGTTTTAGGATCTTAATTAAAACTGTCAAAAGGAGGGCTAGAGTCGTTTATATAGAGACAAAATAGCATATCTACAGTTGACAAGGGATGCCAAGAACAACACTGTTCGGGATTTTAAGCGAAATTGTCAACATTCCGTCGTAATATTATAAAAGTACAAATATATGAACAGTTAATTTAGCAGTACATCGTACGTGTATTGTTGTGATCGTCAGGACCAATCTTGTACCGTTAAATGTTAATAAATGTATAAAACAATACTGTAAAAAAATAATTGTATATGTTTGTATTAACAAGGAAATGTTTGAGCGATATTCATCAGCATAAGATAATAAATGATGCAAACGATATTTGCTCACTCTAAACTTGTTGATAGATGATAGACAGTATTTTGTATGATGTCTTTACTTGATCATTGATATAGCACCCACCTGTCTTAAGAAGTCAACATCATGATATCCCGTAAGTGACCGGTAAACACAATGTTGACTGTAAATAGGGAAGAGGTTTCCGGTTTTGAGATCGAAGAACACGACTTACCTTCACAACGGCCAGGGTGGGCGGACGTTCTAACAAACCTGGTAAATCCCGCTTCACACGGCCGAGTTACGCAAATACCGAAAACATGGCTGTCACTAACTACTCAATTTAACGCACATTCTCCAGTACAGTGAAGTTGATTAACTATATATGGACCAGCTCTTAACTTAAACATCATCTGGCCCCTGGAAACCCCTTTTTACACCATATATAGACATACAAACTCTTTAAACAACCGGATTCGACCGCATACTAGTGGTAATTCAAATGTCAGTAGCATTTTTAAAGCATTTTCCGGTTCCCTCCAAACATGGTACTTGCCACAGTTCGTCGGCTTTTTCTTCTGGCTTTGACATTTGTCAAGTGCAAATATCCTATCTTTTTTCCAATGCCTTTAAAGTTGCATTTCCTTTGAGTATTGTTACCCTGAAGTATTGATTTGCTATGTTTTGTTAGCCCTTTGAATGCCATATTCTGTAAATTATACGATTCAGCACGACATTACAATAAATACATAATTACGGTAAAATGTCAGCGCACTGGATCACTGCCCTTTACAGGTTTTTACACTCATCTATCGTGTTACTGAAGTGTATCTGGATTTTGATCTTAAAATGTCAACAATAATGCCAGAATGACACCGAAACGATCCCAGTCATCTTGAATTTGCTTGGATCTCTCCATCTTCTAAGTGCATCGAACTATTTGAAGCTTATAATGGCTTGCATCCCACGTTTTCTTGTCCTGCCAGGTCAGCATTATTCGGATTTTGTCAGTTTCCTTTCATTAATATTGATTCTTTGCTGTGAGCCAAAACGTTCTAAACATTTAATATGCTGATTATATTTAAAACATATTTTTTTATAAAAGTAAATGAAACATAGTCCATTATTCTCATTTTGGCCACTGGAAATGAATCACTTAAAAACATATGGATTTCTTCAATATAATAAACCTCATAAATAAAAAGTATACATTTATACACTACAAAAAGGAAGAAGAGGTAGGCCTTAAATCGGGAACATTTCATCACCCCTCCCGCTTGGCCTCAAATATCTCCAAAGAGGTCAAACATTTTTTTATCAAACATTGGCGGATGCAGAGGGGTTTTTTGAGCTTCAGGAAACCCCCACAGCACGAGAATTTTCTTTAAAACTCATGTATTTTCACCATTTTCCTCATTTTTTTCCCCACATGGAAAGCATTCATGGAAATTTGGAAACCCCTCCAGTGGATCCGACACTGCCAAATATAGTAACTTTATGTAGGTCAGATATAAAGACGCAATTATGCAAAAGTAAATGCTTATCGGCACCCATCCTTCTCAACAACAACTTATGATATCCCTTCAGAGACTACAGAATTCCCAAATTAAACCACCAGGTATATCGATGAAAGTTAAACTGAATGTGCAATGGATATGTACCGTGACGATTTATAACTACGAGCCAGTTATTTATATATATAGACATCTCGTGATGAGCGTTTTTAATATATTATATGAAATACATATTTTTTAATATTATATATTAAAGGGGCTGGTCGGGGGGGGGGGATGTCATATTTGCTAAAATGGCATACGCATGTTTAGGATACCTTCTTATGAAATATACCGATTCAAATTTTGCTGAAATTCACTACCTAAGAGACAGGCACGAGGTACAATGTATCAATACCGTTATATATAACAACATATAGGTAGGAATACTACACTTGCATCATACATGACCTTTGAAAACAATTATTTACGTATAGTATTGCTGTCTTGTCCGACATGGCACATGACGGCGTGCTATATTGTTGTTATCTTAAACTGCCTCACTTTCGAAACAACCACGTGACATATATAAATAGATCTGCGCTAAATTTACGCGGTGCTTCCCCGAGATTTCAGTGGTCAAAACTGGACATTGCAAGCAGAACTCGACCATCATAATGCCGTGGTATAACTTTTAGAAGGCCAGAGAACGCATTTAAACCCATTTATTTTGTATTTTTTCCCCCACCAGCCCCTTTAATAATAACGATATCAAGAATAACTGTATACTACTCGTGAATTAAGAGGTGCCTCCCTTTGAACGATTAGCACTTGTACGGATTTCATTTCATTTTGTTCTAAATCTTCATACATACATTAACCTTCTACTGTTTATCTTTTTGCTGTGTTTTAGTAAGTACTAATTAAGATCTGCAAAATACAATTCTGTGGTTTCAAAGGAAGCGAAATTTTGCATCGATTTAAGCCTAATGTTAATGAGCCCAGAGACGTATATTTATCAGCATTACTGCCGAATAGTTTTGTTTTCAGGAACATTTTAAGAGTACACCAGTAAAAACGACGTATGTCGACGAAATTTTGGAGAATTTTGAAGGGGATTAATATAAGTACATGTATGTTTAAATGTTGATTTCTGGTTCTTATAACAGGTTTATACAGGGACGTATACTGTCCCTGGTTTATATAAAATGAATATTACAATTATATTTCAGTATGGTGTTTAATAAAAGCAATATATTTTGTTGCAATCGGCTCATCAACTGGTATAAATAAAAACAAGTTTCATAGCCTGTGATATGGTGTACCAATTTGGGTACTAATTACGGCCAAAAAAAAACCCGGACGAAATCTCACTCCTAGTTTAGCGTTCTATTTTCAAAAACAAATAACTTAGATATAAAACTTTTCTTGTAAATGAACCACTATAGGTATTCTTTGTCAAGAATCCAGAAACATTCCAGATACAAGATCTGAATTTTTAAAGATCACTAAAAAACTGTTGTACCAATTGTTCCGCTGTAATATATATATAATGCTTATGATTATGAAGCCTATTAAAAAACAGACTTGCACCAATCAAATTCCGGTTGAAACAATGTGGAATGATACTGAGTATTTTGTTGAATATTAAAGGTAAATCAATTGAATCATGTTACTTGCTAGTGATAAAAGTAATAATTCCGGAATTTAGTGTCCGGGTAGCCACCTTTTCCTTATTTTATCTGTACAATGTCAGATCCGGTGTAATTATCAAAGTGAAGGAGCAAGGACACATTTTGTAAACATGTCGAGCCGGTCTATGCCAAGTACGTTCGTGAAGAATGCTATGCAAAATGGACTTGGTCGTTATGTTTCACAGCTGCAGAGGATAACGTTAAACTTTTGTAAATCACATTCTGACAGCTTAGGCATGAGGTAAGACGATCGCGAGACAGCAGTATCGCTACTCACAACACGTGCGAACAGTATCAAGAGTCACACAAATCATGGTTATCGCGTTTTTTTCATATCATGGTCAGATTATGAAAACGTATTTGTACAAATGTTAAAAAAATCAATTGAGTAAGTTGTTTGATTTGAATACGTTTTGGGTAGTAATGCAAATCTTTCTCAAAATAGTTTCACTCTATGATCAAAGGGGGATAACTCTTATAAACTACCCACAATTTGCCTGATATCTCCTTTTTTCACATTCTGATATTGTTCTGTAAATTATTATGATAACAGTTTTTTAATAAATGATCAACTTAATTTAAATTAGGAAAACATACTTATTTGATCATCACACATTTTAATTTTTACATGAAAAAATTACAAATCCTGACCAGAGACTTATATATTATATAACTGTTACGTCTTTGCCCTGACGTCGACCATGTAATTGTATTAGAGTAGACTAAGCCCTGCCCAGACTCAGTTCCCTTCCGTCTGGCATTACACTCGAGGGGATTTGTACATCTTGAGTTAAAACCACCAGCTAAAATACAAGACAATATTAAACTAGTATTAAGGAATGGGAAAATGAAACATCGACCTAGTTTCAATTAAGTTGTTACACTGATGTCAACCAGCAAATGACACAATGTATATATATTTGTCATTCAAATGGTCTGATGGAATACCAAGTAAAAGTTGTAATATCTAACCCTGATTGATATATTTGGTCCTATGAATAGAGACGGAACACCTGCCGGTCATCAAGACAATTTAGGTATAAATTGGTGACAGGTAATACATGTATTTATTTACTTTATCTGTAGGAACTTTGTGGAACATCACCTTATGGACTTCTCAAAAATGAACCCAGGAGTTGTAGTTTATGTGAAGCCAAGGAGACATCGACCACCAAGAATTGTAGCAACATTTCGTAAGTATCCTTTTCAGCCAAGTTATCATTTTAGACTAACATTAATATAATTTAATTATTGTTAGTTTTTACTTTATGCCAATTTTTAAAAGTAAAATTATGTAACTATGTTTGAAGGTAACATACCTGAAAAAATAGGGTAGGTGGGTCGGGATTAATTTTTTATTTATTTATTTTCTTTATCAGTTTTCGAGGGATGGGTTTGAGTCAACTTTCTAATTTATGAAATTACAGAAATCACCCAACATATTTTTAGGCCTTTAAATAAGATATTTAGGGTGGTCGGGTGGTGCAGTGGATAGTGCACATGCCTTTTACCAAGGCGGCTGGGGTTCGATTCCCCAATCGGACGTGAAAAGGTGGATCACATGGGTTTTCTCCGGATGCTCCAGTTTCCTCCCACAATAATTATAAGACGGGGTCTTATAATTATTGTGGGAGGAAACTGGAGTACCCGGAGAAAACCCACTAACATCCGGACCAACAGGACTGATTAATAGAAGTTGAAATAACTTGTTTCATAATTGTTGTAAAATAAATAAAGTTAATATAAGACATGTGAATTAATTTAAATTTTGATACCTGCCTATGGAGTACGTGTAGAGAGGATACATACCAGGGTAATCTGTAGTTGCATTGTTTGTTTTGTCCATCAATTTGTTTTCATCCAGTGGACAAGTAATCCCAACAATGGATGGAGTGTGTTAAAGCGAGATAAAACTGTTAGGGTCAGAGTTGAAAACTAGGGTCTGTCGGGGTACCTGAAACATGTAGGTCTCAGGTAATTCTAAATTTGGAAGATCAACAATCAACAAACTCTGTGTGTCCTTGCTTGACACAGGACAGTTCATAAAAGAATGCTTTTATTTCTTGTAAAAGTTGTAAATTTGCAGCCCATACCAGCATTCACACTGAACAGTTCATTGCCAAATCCTGTTTACTATATCAATAAAAGTTTTATTTTATTAAAATTACATTACAGTTAATGGAAATACACAGACATTCAATGTGTCCAGCTTGCCAAAGGAGGACATTTGTAAATGGGTGGAGGCGATGAGGACTAGATCAGGTGTTGAGGTGATGCGAATTAGGAAAACATGGCACACGGACACGCCCAGTATACAGGGACCATGGCATCCCTTCCTCTTCAAGGATCCTGTAAACAATACCACTTCATTTCCAGAACCTAGTCTGTACAGCGTTCAAGCAGGAGAGAGTGCCAGCGACCGTCTCTTACAACGAGCTGAGAAACTTCGACAAGAACAAACTGCTGTGGCTTCTGACATTACTCCTGAACAAGAACAAATTACCGTTGGTTCTGGGTCATGAAATTGTATTGGCTCAGATATTCCAGATTTGTGAATGTTATATATATATGTGTTTGGTTGTTATGGAACCTTTTATTCATATTCATCAGTAAGGACTGAATAAGTTTAAGTTCTGAACGTACTTTTTGACCAGTATGCAGTATTCTTTTGTGTTTTATTTTATAGAGACTCACAGACAAGTTCCCATTGAATACATATTTTTATGAAACAAGCTTCAGCAAGTTTTATTAAAGTCAGAAGGAATGGGGAAATGTTTGAGATTCTTTTTCCCATCTACTGCTCCCACCAAAACTTGTGTAAAAACACATTTTCTTAATATTGAGATTGGAAATATCTAGGAATGTTGACTGTGAATCTGTCACAATTGAAAGTTATACACATTGCATATCAAAATTTAATATGACACTATTGATTACACTTCAAAGTGCTAAACAGTCTTAAAGTGCTTAAAAAGAAATAGATGGATTATGGAGTACAGTGTATGTATGAAATTGATAAGCTTATAACATTAATTGCCCCTTGACACAAAAAAAAGTCATTAGCGTCGATTTATCATTTAATATTGACATTTCTGAGTAGGAAATTTGTTGTGGGCTTTTAATGCTTGCTCAGAATAAACATGGATGGAGGCAGTTTGGATCTCTTGTATTAAGAACAATGTTAACTCTGGCTAATTGTGAAAGTGTTTGTTGATGTTTTTTTCTCTGAAAAGTGACATTCAATCACGGAATTTTTCTGCATACAAATAGATTTTAAAATTACAAATAATAATAATAATGATAATAATTCAAGGTTCTTATATACCGCTTTATCACAACCTAGTTCGTACGTTGTCTCAAAGCGGTTCACAAATTATTTCCGTGGTTAAAGGGCATTTGCAACCAGCCAATATCTTTCTCAACTACATGAGGAGCATACAGCTGGTGCTGCCATTTGGTGCTCACAGCTAGCATTTTAACAATTCTAGCACTGCCAAACCACGTACTCATTTACAGCTGAGTAGACTGGTACAAGCAGAGTAAAGTATCTTGCTCAAAGATGCAACATAGTGCCGAGCTGTGACTCGAACCTGCAACCCTTCAGTCAGGAACCCAGTGTCCTACCGGATGATATACTATTGACAATATACATGTAATCCTGAAGTATTCATTTAGTGAAGATTTTGAACGTGTGTTAACTTTTTCTATTATTTCTGTCAATATATATATATACAATGTATATAGAAAGTATCCGAACTGATATAAGAGGACCTTTGGACAAGCAATGGAAGACTTTGAATGGCTATCCGTGTGCTGAACTAAAACCAGTGATATATAGCTTTGTATGTGGTTGAATGCTATATATTGGATATAAAAAACAGCAGGGACATTGTGTGAAGCTGTGATTGGTGTAACTGTGTGAAGAATGCATGGAACACTGTATGTACTGTACTGTGTAGATAAAATAAACATACAAAATGTTTCGTTCAATTTCTGATGACTCCTGAACTGTTGTTCTATTTGCAAGCTGAAAGGCAACTTATTTAGATCAGTTTTGTGAATAATATTTCATTTTTTATGCCCCCACCATAAAATTGGGGGGGGGGGGGGGGGGGGGGGGGGGGGGCATATGGTGTTGCCCATGTCCGTCCCGCCATCAAAGTGATTGTAACTATTTATAGAACATTAAACACTGGGTGATGGGGGCATTAACCTCTTACAGACATTTTCTAATTTTAGTTAAAATTTAGATTTTTCAAAAACCGTAAATATCAATATATGATATACAGTATTAACAAAAAAATCGTACATTATTTATAGCATTCTTTAAGATATATTTCATAATCTTTCTTTACCCAATCAGTTTTCCAAGCATGCAGTAGAAGGGTCGGTATTACACATGCACTATACAAGAACATTATGTTACCCTATAGAAGCCAGAACTGGAGGAGCTTATTGACTAGAATTTATTTATTTTATCAAGAACTTGAACATTCAGATTATTGTATCATCATTTTACTTTATCTGGTAATTTGACATCCTTATTTAGTATTCTCCATGTTGTGTTGATTGATGATGTATCAAACATGGAAATAGGCCTGCAGATCCAAGTTTAGTGACAAAACATATGCACTTTAGAAATCTAGAAACTATAAGGTTCTACAAACTATCTTTATACTTATGATTTTGGAAGGGTGAAGTCATCTTTAATTATGTTAATCCGTCATCTTTCTGTTAGCGATGTTAATTAAAACGCAACTCCTTATGAATGGTTCATCAAATTTCAACCAGATTTGGTCTGGAAGGGACACTGGACATAAGTGACTTAATAGTGTATCCAAGCAGGAAGAATGGGTCCCCATTAGGAACAGAGGGCAATGCCTGATTGGCGAATTAAAGGTAAAATCCCATTTCTGTACATGTAAAACTTAGTGAGTTTGACTAAATATGGACTCAATTTTATGTTAAAAAAGACAGTGTTTGAATTGTTCAGGTACATTACTGCAAATGATCATCGTATGATAAGCTTTTACATATTTGGCTCATTTGAAATCCAAGATATCGAGATCGGCTTTTGTTTTGCTGAGATGTTTTGTACTTTTCTGTCCGATTTTTAACAAAAAAATGTAGAAATATTCCCCTCATGGTTTTGAAAGAGTATTGTTTTGTTTTTTTATAACCGATTCGGAAACAAAAGATGATGTCTTAGGATGTGATTTGGCCGAGACGTTTTCAACATCTCAACTTCCATCAGGCATTTGTAACCTCGCATCTGAAGTATTACTTTCGTTTAACTAAAAATTCAAAATGGCCACCCTGTGATCTCATTGGCTGGGCTCGTTTTACTAATTCTTCATTATACAATATCCATCCTGTCGATGTCCTCTTATGTGTCGTTACTTGAGTTCTTTGGTGTTAATAAGAAATCTGAGTCGGCTACAATGATACTGAATGAGCAAAAACATGTAAACTTCATTTGTTTTCAACATAATATATGAAATATATAGATGAGCGAAACAGATACTCTGGGCCTCTTGACCTTTTAACCATTTTCATTCAGTGAATTTTTTACTGCTGTGGCATCCTCGATACCTCAGGGGCTGTAGCGCTCACTTACGTTCTCTGCGCCCCTGGAATATGTCGTGAAAACCTCGAAGGCTCGTTGTGTGCTACATGTACATGTACCTTATGGCTGAGACAAAAAGACTAGTTTGATCTTACGTGATGTACATCAAAACAATCTCGCAGTCGCGCAAGGGTTAAATTGTCTGGTTTTGAAGCCGTGGTGTCGCTCCTCTGCAGTCTTTGGTGCAGAGAGCGTAAGTGAACGTGACCCCTGGAGTATCTAGGAGGTTACCGTATGGAACTCTGCTGAAAAGGCATGTTTTGATCCATAATTGAGTCGTTTTTTTTCACATATAAAGTTTAATGTTTATTAATGATAGGATAATGACAGAAATTATGGATAAAAGTAGTAGTATTTGTAGTGTCTGAATCAAGCGCAGATGTGACGGTTGCCTCCCTTCTTACACTTCATCGATTGCCGTGTAAAGGTCACGAATGCTGCAATTATTACAAGTATCATTTGTGTATTTTTTTGCGCTCGTCATCATCAGATGTTTTGCTGTTCAAATTACTTTTCATCCAGGGTGCGGTGTCTATCGTTTCCTGAAGGTTTCTTAGTGAAACTTAAAAATACAAAAACCCTTGGTTAATAGCCGTTTGCGCTCAACATTTGAGATGTAATAATAGAAATATATAGAGAAAATAATCCACATACCAGATACATTCAATGTACTTTCAGTGATAAGCGCCAAGATCTCTCTTTGTTCGCTTGTTATATTTCTTAATGGAGACAGAACCCAAATATCCTGACCCCAGTTAAACTGAAGTTGGTTAAAAGTTTTGAAAATGACCCCTATGACCTAGTGATTGGGTCAAATTCTCATCCCTTTGCACAACATTGATAGAACTATACGCCAGCACGCTACTAACGAACTATCCAGACTTGTTACAATTGTTAATTTTTTCCTCGTATTTGACCCTTGTGACATCGAGAGTTAGTCAAGGTCATTCATTTGAACACATTTGATAGCGACTCCTCCCCGTAGCATTCTACATGACCCCTTTCTTGACCGTTGACCTCTGGGTTATACAGGAATTGTCATTCAAATATTTCAACACATTTTACATCATTAACATAAACGTAGCTCCAGGTCATTCTTTTGAAAAAAACCTTGATAGATCCTCTCGGCAAGCTACTGGCCAAATATCTTGACACTAGTCCCTCTGATTATAAAGAGGAACTTTTCATTTAAGATCCTCTCACATTTGACGCATGCGACCTAGGAAGTTGATCAAGGTAATGTATTTGAACAAACATCATACCCCTTTGTTCGAGCATGCTGCCTCTAGTTTTATGTACCATCATTGATACGCTTTTGGCTATACAGAAGTCGTTTAACGTTTTTCACGTATTTAACCTTTGTGATATTGAAAGCGGGTCAATGTCATTCATTTGAACAAACTAATAGGCTTCTTACATGTAAAATACATATTCAAGACATTTGTTTTTTATTTAAAGAAAAACAGTTTATACCGAACGGACCATGGCATAAACTCACTTTCCCTTTCAACCTTCTGTGTTGGCTAGTGGGGCTTATTTATAGATATTTCATGTCCAAATTTAACAGTATGGCGACCTTTGCAAATGCATTTGAAATCAAGAAAAACAAAGGCTTAAAAGTTTATTGAACTACTTTCTACGTGGAAATAATATATTTATTAGCTATCTTACTTTTATTATATACAGAAAATATTCATTTTCTTCACTTGAACTAGGCTGCAGCGACCGACTTGTAAATTGATATTTTGAAGTTAAAATACTATCTATTGTTCTTATGATTTTCTTTAAGTTTAAGGGAATCATATAATTTTGTGCACTGTTGAATCCGTTTTTGAGATTATAACGCAAAATGTTTTGAGAGAGTATTAAAATATATTGACCGCCATCTGGCCTAAGGCCATGGCGCATCCTTAGACATCCGGTCATCAACTAATATTTCAAAACGCTACTCATCCAGAACAGCTGAAAGAATTTTGATTAAATCAGACACAGAACATCCATGGGTCAAGAGTATTAGACAGTGTATAATGTATCAACGGGACGTGTGGTCTCTCTGGAGAAAAGGGATTAGAACCATATTTTGCTAAAAGCATGACAAGCTATTTAGACAGCGTTATCTATAATTACGTAATGTTGGACAGTTTACTATCGATCTAGCTGTCTATTTTTCAATTAATTATCATATACTTCAGCATTGCGCTAGACCTACAAGAAGTTCGACGTGGAGGCAATCATCACAGGGAACATAATGATGTTTGTAAAGTATACATCGTAACAGAAATTTCACTGGTGTCCTGTTGAAGAATGAACAATACTTTTATGGAATTAGTTATTAAAGTCATTCCATGTAAGAATATATTCGATTTTCAATCGAAAACCATTTTGTATATTTTCTATACCATATCTCGATGATATATCAATATCTATGTATAAAGATTCAAATATTAATACATGCTGATTTCTTTACGTGTTGTATTGGGCTGTTAGCCGCGATAATTATGTGTTCAGGAAATATACTACCACGTGCATTGCTAAGGATAAATAAGTTAACAATGCATGCAAATTAAGAAGGATTACACCACAGTGCAAGTTCCTGAATCTGAAAGAATATGATAGTTTTTTTCAATCCGAGATTACTACACGTGAAAATTACTGTAAATGACGAAGTTAAATG